GGGAACGACACGGACGGACGGTGGGAGGGAGAGAGAATCCAACTTGTCTGCTTACACTTGCTTTGCTTTTCTTGCAAGCAGTCTCAAGAACTCCATTAGTTTCCACAGAGTTTAACACCTCTTTTATCTTCCTCTTCTTTCTCAGGGCTGCCTTTTTCTGGTTCGAAGCCCTAATCCCTTCCAAGCTACCCAACTTTGCTTTTTTCTTCAATTTGACCTTTTTGGGAATTATGGATTCTGAGTCCTCTTTGCCTGTGAAGTTATTTAGCAAGCTTTCCTCTTCTGGTTTCATTACAACCTGCTGAGATAAGCCGTTTCTATTCATTAAGACAACTCCCGTTTTCTTCTTCTCCAGTTTGGGAGTTATGGTGGCACAGGGGCTGGTATCCTCCAGGGCACTGGCATTAACTCCATTTTGATGTACTGATGTTCCATGAACCATCAGTAATTTGGGAGCCTTTTTCCTCAGTCTTTTTTTATTCTGTGCTATGCCAGTAACAGCGTCCTGTGCACACTTATCATTGTCCTCTCCAGTGCTGGTTGTTCCAACATCCGTCTCATTTGCCTCTCTCTTTTTCCTCTTACTATTTTCTGGCATGCTGACCTTATTGGGTTCAGTGGGCTCAACTACATCACTTATGCCCCCCTCACTACTTCCATCAGCTGTGCCAGAGTCAGCACTTGGACTATTCTTCTTTTTTCTTTTCTTCCTCTTCTTCTGGTGTCCTGAGGTATCTTCTCCCTCTGCACTTGATGTTTCTTTTCCATCCTTCTCTGTAAGATGGGAAAAGGGAATTTTAACTTAAATCGGGAAATGCAAAGACAAATGTAATATTGCTTTCCTAGCGCCCCCTTAAAAGCTATTCTGTTGGCAACTGGCCTGATAGTAGCTGTACAAGCAAAACTTGGTTTATAGGATTTTTTTCCCCAAGCCTATGAATGCTTTGCTTGTCTTTCCTCATACTGCTGAGTTCTCTGTAATTCCCAGTGAATGCCCCTGATCTGCATGGTAATGCATCCTGCCACCCCTCCAGGGTGCTGTCTTTCAGAGGGCTTCCTCCTGTTAAGCCTATTAAGAATCAGCTCATTTATCAGAAAATTCTGGTAGACTTTCAGAGATATTGTGGCCATTTAAGTGCAAAGATGGTAGGAACAGCTGTAAGCTTTCATAGGTAGCTCCTCTGTCCCACCCCTTTAGCCCCTGATAACCAGGGATCCTGGTTCTCCCTGATAAAAAAAATAAATTAAAAAAAAAAATAAATAAAAATCACAAATTCTCTGCTTTAAAAAAAAAAATTTAAAAAAAAAAAATCAGTTTCTCCGCTAAAAAATGCAAAATCTGTGATTAAAATTAAAGGCCCCGCCACAGCCCCCACCACAGCCCTGCTGAGGCCCTGGGGGAGGGAAGCAGGGTGAGAGCTTGAGCCCACAGCAGGTACAGATCTGTGGGGCGTGGGTCTCCCCTGCTCTCTCGGGAGCGTACGCAGCAGCGGGGAGACAGCCCTCCCCCTTCCCCAGCCACTTGCAGCCCCATCCTGCTCCCAGCTGGGGCCCTGCGGCTGCGCACTGAGGTCTCAGACCGTCTTTCCGCTTTCCTCCCACTCCCTTCCAGCTCCCTGCAGGCTGGAAGTCTGCCAGCTTGCAGGGAGCTCACTGCAAAATGGCAAAATCCACAGGTTTCTCTGGTAAAATGAGAAATCTGTGTTTGCCTCTGGTAAAAGGCAAAATCTGCAGTTTACTCCATTTTTCCATGGGAAACGGAAAACCCAGATCCCTGCTGATCACCCACATTCTACCAGCATTCTTCTTTTGAGAGGACAGATGTGCCCCCATTTTCAGAGCAAACAGCATTTCTTGATCTGGTAATGCAAAGTACAGTTTCTTTCCATTTTGCCTTTCAAGGGAGATAGACGTGTGATGTCATCCACTGAAGTTAATGGTAAAATTCTCACTGATTTTTGAAAGGTCAGGATTTCACCTCAAGCTTCCCTGCAACAAGTATATCCCCAGTCAATCGGCTCTCACTGGGTTGCTAATCCACACAGACCATGTCCACATGTGGCATGGACATTTGGTTCCCTGGGGACAACTAATAGCGGCACACTTTGTGCCACTGCTAGTTGTCCCCAGGGAACACCCGTGCTATGTGTGCTCTAGTGCACGGCAAGTTACCCAAGATGGGGTAGGGGAGGCTGGCCCCAGCAGCAATACCTGGAGTCCTGGGGGCTCCCCAGGGCTGCAGAAGCAGCGATTCTGCCATGCAGAGCCTGGCCAGCAGCTGCAACTCAGCTCTGGCTGGTCTGGCTCTGGTTTTGAGCAGCGTATGCTGCCAGTGTGCGCACCGCTCTGCTTTTTTTTTTTCCACAGGTTTTTTTGATCCCAGGATATCCAGGGGCCAAGAAACCCCTCCACACTGTTCCACTGCAGCGCAGAGAACAACTGAACGTGCAATATGTAGTGCCACAGATGTGTCTGCAGCACCACATACTGTATGGCTGCGCTTGTCTGGACATGGCCACAAGGACTGTTGCAGGCATCCTCGCTTGCTTAGCATTGCCTTGTACCTTTGGCTTTTTCCACCTTAGTTTTCTCCACAGATTTGACAGCTTTCTTCTTTCGTCTTCCCCTGCTGAATGTATCATCATCTTCATCTGTAGAAACATCTTCAGGGAAATTATCTTGTGGAAAGATGCCTGTTGAGCAAAAAGCCTGATAAGACCTCTGAAAAACAAAATCATTCTCAGTTTTGTTTTTTCCTCACAACATGTAGCCCACAAGCAACACCAAGTCTCTACTCAATTTACCCAGCAGCACACTGAACGTACTATAGGAGTGTACAGTTTCTCCATTATTTTAAATCAAAGTAACTATGTTTCTCATTTAAGGAGAAAAAAATCCAAACAAAAAGGCATGACCCTCTCATGTCCATAGTACTACAATGCTGCCCAAATTCTAAAGCATTAGAGAAAGGGATGTGGCCTCCCTTGTGAAGTGGAGCAAGTTATGCCTCCAAAACTCGACCCCTTTAAAACACAGGTTAAAGCCCCACGTGGAGACAGTTTTGTAACACATGGTAAATCAAAATGGCATGAATCCTTTCATATCTTTTGTGCTGCTCGATGCTCACCTTCTGCAAGGTCCTGGAATCTGAAAGAGAAAAGTTAAAAAGAAGTTGTTATTGTTAGAGCAGTATTTGATGAAACCTTTACCACCTCCCAGCTCTTGTATTTATTACACACAGTCCCCATTTACAGGGCAGCATAAGAAATGGGGGAGAGGGGGAGTAAATAAAAGGCTGGTTCCATCCAGGAGTTCTGCTTCAGAAATCCAAGCACTTACAAGTGATGAAGACATCTTTGAGAAATGTAGGAGCAATGTGACACTGCTCCTTCATTTCGTTTGAGCAGCATTCTTGGAAACCCTGAAGCAGCAGAAGCTGTCCATACTGCCATCAGAAAGCTTCATTGCAGCACATGTAAATGTACTTGCATGAGCTTTAATCTAGCTTGCTTGGGTACAAAGAGCAGGGAAGCCATGGTGGCACGAGTTTCAGCTGCCAAATACATACTCTACCCTCCGGAGTGGGTTTGTACACTGTTCTCAAGCTTGAACCACTGAAGCTTCAGTGCTTATGTTACCCAAGCCAGATAGAGACAGATTTGTCGAAATGTGCTATATAGTCACAACATCCACTTACAATGCAGATACAGACTAAGAAAATAGAGAGAAGTTCCACAAGAGAAAATGCAGAATAATTATCAGTTTAAAATACTCTGCATGGAACAGGACATAGCACTTCAGAACACAGTGCCAGCAACAATCCTAAACTGCCATGGAGGTACAGACAAGACAAAAAGCCTCGTCTAGCTCTAGTTCTTACGACACTGTGAAGTGTCAGATCCATACATATATATGCCTGATAGACATCTTTGTTGATGAAAGAAGTGATAAAAACCCCAAAAACCTCAGACTTTACTGGAAGAAGCAGTGCATTAGTTCGACCCAGTCCTGTGTAGATCAGGCACTTCAGTGGGTCTTTTTGATGCTTTTATCTAATAGCCAATTCAATCAGCTATTAGATAAAAGCATCATAAAAACCCCGCTAAAGCATCCAATCCATACAGATACTGGACGAGCCAATCCAGGTAACATGATGTTTCTTCTGGGTGTGCACTGGGCTCAGTACGGGGGAGTACCAAATTTAAAGTGCCATTTTGTTTCTATTTTTTTAGATCCATAAGCAGCTCTTGTTCTTGTATATACCACATATTTTAAGGAACCATCTCATTCTATACTGGTCCAAACAATAACGAAATGGACACACTTTTGTTAAGAGTCTTGTGGATGTGGTCAGGAAGGGGACAGAGAGAAAAGGAAAATACATCTATTTAGACAAGTCAGTGTCACACAAATTCTCTCTCAAGAGAACTTACTTTTTGACCAATTTGTACAGGCGTTTTCTGTTACAGGCAGGGGTATTTTTTCTGCTTGCCAATTCAAAGAGCTTGTCGGCAACAGCTTTATAGTCAAACTGTCAAAAACAACACAGAATATGGCTTCTGTAGTTATTTGATTACAGCAAATGACCCAATGCATCTGCTGTTATAAATACTTCAAATTGCATATGCTCTTACTATTTCCGATTTCTTTAAATCTTTTGCTTTATCAAAAATCTATTCCTGTGTACACCTGCATGTATCCCTGCCTTCCCCCACTCCACTAATATGGCTCTCAGAGCTGTATGAGTTTCTCTCTTCTGCAAATTCCTATCCTAATATTCACACTGAAAACAAAAGTAAGATATGCACTAACTCCTGGGCCAAGCAGAACAAGATTTTGCTCTTACAGTCTGAATTTCTTTACCTCCCGGGGGGGGGCGGGGGAAAGGAGGAGGAGGAAAGGAGGTGGGGGAGAAGAGAGACAATATGGAATTTAGTGCACAGGCTTGTTTTTCAGTCATTTATCCATAAGGAATGTGTTATTTATAGACTATTAAACTGAAGATAGTAAGAGCCAGACTGCGACATGCTTGTTCCATTCTTTGTCTGGCCCTGGCTCTAGTAGCCAGTAAGTAATAAAGAGATGCACAGTTACTCATGAGCATTCAGCACCTTAAAACACAAGGTAGGAAAGCCACAAACCTGGAGAACAGGCCCAATGTTTTCATCAGCATCCTCAGAAAGGTCCTCCTGTTTTTCAGGGTCCTGTGTTGATTTTCTTGACAAATGTTTGTCTGTTATGAAAAAGACTGGATTTTAAAACTCAGTTTGCCAGAACAGGGAAAGCAGTCTAGTACATTGAGTGCAGAAGAGTACTTGGGCTGCAGTAAAGCCAATCAT